GACATCTTCCTCAGATCCCAGAGCCTTTTCGTAAATTTCTAAAGCTCTCCCTAGATACAGACCTTCGTGGAGATTTTTCTGTGTGGACAAAGATGGAACAGAGGTATCTGAGCAGTGTTATACCCCCCATCCCACTTCATACCTCCTTCACTGCCAGAGCCCTGGCCTCTGCCCTCCGCTCAGGGCTAAGGACTTCCCTGGCAAAGATAGTTATGCCTGGGCAAAGCCCAGAAAAGTGGCATCCCAGTGTGGGTGGGGAGAACCTAGGCTGGAGTGAACCTCATAGGACCAGGGCGGAGCATCTGGCAGCTTCCCAGTTGGCCCCAGCATTCCGCAGCCCTGTGTGTCCCCTGGAAAGGATCCTTCCTGCAGGAGAGAGCCAGCAAACAGGTCTGAGCCAGCCTGCTCCTCCACAGACAGAAGAGGGTTTAGCTGGGGGAGGGGGTCTGGGATCTTGGTGGGGAGTGATGGTTGTAGGCACCCACATCCCTGTTTCCTCTGGGGGTCAGGGATAGAGGGGCCTACTGACTGGGCACCCCTACCATGCCTGGGGCCTAGTCCTTTGCCTTCTTTCACCAGGCTGCTGCCACCTGGGAGCCAAGGGCCTGGGCCCCTAGCTTCGAAGATGCCTGCCCACTCCTTCCCAGGGAGCCAACATCACTTTCCACTTCCCCTCCCCTGGGCTGGGCAGGTTCAGGCCAATCTGCACAAAAGCTTCACAGCAACATTGATCTGTAATAAACCACAATATGTGTTCAGGAGAAGGGATTCCAGACAGCATCTCTCTCTCTCTCTCTCTCTCTCTCTCTCTCTCTCTCTCTCTCTCTTTCACACACACACACACACACACACACACACACACACACACAGAGGCACACATGTGCACACAGATATAAAACACATAGCTTTGCCAGGGCAGACACCAGAAGTCCTAAAAACACTTCTAAACAAGGACCCACACTGTGTCAAATACCCAAAAGGAAGGTACATATCTCTTACCTGTCATAAACTTTTTTTTTTTTTTTTTTTTTTTCTGCTACTGGGGATTGAAATCAGGACCCTGCGCTTGCCAGGCAAGCACTTATTCTACTGAGCTATCTCCCCAGCCCTACCTGTCATAAACTTTGTCCTTCAAAATCAAACCCTTGCCGGGTGCAGTGGTACACACTTGTAACCCTAGCACTCGGAAGCAGAGGCAGGAGGGTCACTGCGCATTTGAGACCATCATGGGCTACAAAGTGAACTGAAGCTCAGCCTGAACTATGTAGCAAGACCCTGTGTCAAAAAGACTTTATGAAAAAAGACTTTACAAAGCAAAAAATATTAAACCCTTCTCTGATGGGCCCATTTCCCTGTGTTCCCATAGTATTTTGTATGTAACTCGATATGAACATTTGCACTTGGCATTATAATTATTCATTGCCCAGTATGTCTCTGAAGATTTCTTAAGGGAGGGGATCTTGTCTTATGCAAGTGTGTATCAACCAGCATGCAGCCTGATATTTAGTTAGTGGAAATAGGTGGGATGCTCAATAAATAATTGTGAATCAATGGAACAATACATACAGACAGTGAACATCCATTCCTAGTATCCCCTAGGAGCCCACAGAGCATAACCGATGCCTTGTACAAAGCCTCCAGCCCTGCCTTCTTGTCTGTAAGGGCCCTGACCTCACTATCTGTGTTCCTCAAGGACTCTCCTTTCCCCTCCTCCCTCAGTGTGAGTCCATGAATTTGAGTTCCACCTGAGGGCCAGCAGGCAAGGTAAGGGTTAATGATACCTCATTAGTCTTTATTTGGAGGAAGGAAGCTGCAGGGCACCAGACAGGTGGGCAGGCCTGCATCTTACTGGAACCAGGCATTCCTGGTTCCAGCACCCCACCAGGCATGTGGGTGATTTGGCCCTGGAGACCCTCAACCCAGCCGGGCACCTCCCCCTTCCACTTGCCTTGCCAATTCAGTCTCCAGGCAGTACAGACCAGCACTCCCCATCTGTCACCAAACATCCAGAGGGAGAGGCAGCCTCCTTATCCTTTCTCCTTTAGCTAGGCTTTGCCCCTCCCACCCTAGGAGACATAGAAGAATGGAAGGGGGGGGGTGTGGAGTTGGACAACTGAAGAACAGATTAGAGGGTCAGAAGGGATGAATTCCAGATACAGACAAGCGACAGGGCTGGGGATGTGGAGACGTCTGCCAATTTGACCTTAAATGAAGAGAATACAAATGAGATGCAGACGATATGCAGATGATCTCAAGGATTTCAGAATTGACATTCTTAGTGGCAAGAGCAGGACCTACTGTACAGTAGGACCCCAACACACTTGCCAGTGCTCCTCCTAACCTTTCTGTTGACCACTACTTTGAGTAAGAAAAAAACTTTGAAAAGATAAGAGCGTGGCTGGGCTCCGGCCGCAGGACCTGGAAATCTGAGCTTCACCCAGCTTTCTCACCCCATCCCAGTCACCCACCTACGCTACCACAGAAAGCCCAAGAGTTACCTACCATCATTGCTCCGGATGGACGCGCCACCGGTTGCTATGGTGACCCCTCTTCATTTCCAGACCTAAGCCAATGACCACTACTGCTGATGACCTCATGCCCCAGGCCCCAAGATTCTATTGGCTCTTTGAAGCCACTGTGCACCCTTTTCAATTGCGTCAACGGCGGGGATCCCCCATGACCCCAGCTAGAGGGCCTTACTGAAGGAAGGGCGTTTGAGGAACTCTCAGTGCTCTGAATGAGTGAATAAAAAACTAATGAAGGTGAAAAAGGAAAAAAGGATAGACTCACGGAAAAAGACCAAATCCCAAGTTTATCTCAGGGAAAAAAAAAAAAAAAAAAAAATCGAACGATTGGGCTGGGGAGATGGCTCAGTGGAATAAGCGCTTTTCTGGCAAGTTGTAAGGACCTGAGTTCAATCCCCAGTTCCGCAATCGAGCGATTTGAAAACCCCCAAAAGGGTGGAGAGAGATCTGGGTCGCAGAGACTCGGGCTCAGGCCAGGGAGGTAGGGCGAGGTAAAGATGAGTGGAATTTTCGCATGTTTCTGGGAGAGACCGGAACAGGCCCAGCACAGTAAGGGCCCCACCCTCAGCCGCCCAGCGCCGCAGCTGCTACTGCCGAGTTTAGGGGAGTTCGGTGACGCCCCAAAACTTGCAGGCCTGCCTATCCTCCTGGAACCGCGCCCCAGAACACGCCTGGGGGACTTGTAGGTAGGGCCCGGAGCCCGGAAGGCCGCCCAACCCCCTTCAAGCGTCTGAGCCCACGGAGCGGACTCGGTCCTCAGTCCTCGGTCCCGGTGGGGGTACGCTCCAGGCCGATAGTCACCAGCGCCGAGGCCTGGGAATGTAGGAAGGCCGGCTCGGCATGAGGCCTGCGGTGGGGAGGGCTGGAGTTGGTGACTCCTGCTCAGCTCCGGGCACGCCCAGGTCTCGGCCCTCGCACCTGCAAGGGGGTGGGCGGCGGGCGAGGGCTTACAGAACCTGCATCCACCATGAGCGTCTAACCGAGAGCGAGGGCGCGTGGCTCGGCGCAGAGGCCCTACGCTCGCGTCCCTCGCACATGCGTTCTTATCAGAGACGGATCTGCGTGCGGGCCCGGCTCGGGAACGAGCGCACCCAACTGGGTCCGCAAATGGGGTGGTGTCTGACGCAGCTGGGAGCAGAGCGAGACCCCGGCAGTCCCGAAGCCGGAGCAGGGGCTGGTCACCCTCCGGCCCCCTCCTATGCCTGCCTCGCTAATGGTTTCTCTGGTGATGGGCGGAGGTAGCAGTAGAGTCGGTTTCCATGGCAACATACAGACAGCCTCCTGGACGATGGATTCAACGGAACTTGAACCCTGGACCAGAAGATCCAGCTTGTAGTTCCTCCTTTGGAGCCGACTTCATCCCGCGCCCCAGCCTCTGGCCCCGCTATAGATTTAGGTTTGGAATGAGGGCTCTAACATACAAATCTGTAGGCGCCCGGCTTCCAGACGCGGCATTTTCTCAAAGTGGCCTCATGTGGACGAAGAGATTGAGCGAGTCTTTGCCCGCCACTCCGAGCCTCAGCCAGAGCCGTGGTTTCAACCGGTGACAGCTCAAGTGGGAGGACGTTGGTGGTAGGGGAGCAGGCCCTGCCCCTTCCACAGAGGGACCGAGTCTGACCTAGGTGCGTGTGCAAAGGGATTGGGGTGATCTCGCAGTCTCCAGCATCCCCGTGCTCTTCGGTTTCTGGACCCTCGTGCCCTCCTCCCCTCCGTATTCACACGCTGCCTCACACTGCCGCAGCCAGGCCGAGCTAATCAGCACGACATCCACCTATCGATCGCTGGCTCAGTGCCAGGCGGGCCGGCACCTTGCCAGCAGAGGCTGCGGGGTAGGGCACAGCTGCAGGGGAAGGGGCGCTGCTTCTCCTGGCTCCACCCTGGCCACAATTCAGAATGAGGGACCCAATTGGGCTCGGGACTATCATAGCCTCTGCCAAGCAGAGGTGTGAAGAGGGCAGTGTCTGGCCGAGAGCTGGGGGGGGGGGGCGCTCCCTTCTCAGCCCCACCCCCTCCTCCTTATAAAAGCTAAGAACAAAGAGGCCGCTGGGGAAGGCGGCTTTGATCTGACCCCACCTTCCCAGTTCTAGTCCAGGCATCGCCCAGAGTGCCCGTGAGGAAGGGGGGCACCCAGGCCTTCTGAAACCCAGGTGGTGTGTTTTTGCTACCCCTTGCTTTTGCCTCAGCACCCTGCTAGGTGCTGCCAGGGCTTGGGCAGTGCCCCAGGCGGGTGGGCTGTCAGGAACATCTGCCCCTCCTCAGCACAGGAAGCCAAGGAGGTGGGAGAGGGTGCCAAGCTCCACAGCTGCTCCTGGCACCCACTCTGCACTGCCCAGAGGGGTGCCCACTGAGGCCTGGCATGGGTGGCCTGGGCACAGCTGGCATGGAGGTCAGGCCAAGCCAAGCTGGAAGCACAGGCTGCAGGGAGTCCTGGTGTCTTGGGCAAGGGATGTGAGGGCAGTCAGTAGGCCAGGGAGGGCAACACAGAGAAGGGTGGTTTATTGAAGGTTTGGTCCAAACTCTTATAAAAATACAAACTGGCATGAAATGCAACCTCATGGCAAGTCCGTCTTCATAGAAGACAAGTGAGTGACTCCCTGGGGCAGGCAAGGTGCTACCCTTGGGAAGAGGACCCTGGGCAAGGTGGCAGGGCTTCGCCTTTGCCCTGAGCCAGCAATCCACCTGTTCCTACATCTTCAGCCTTGGTCCCTGGTGGCTCAAGGATCTGATCCACTTCCACCAAATCCCAGTCTTCCTGGGGTTGGGGTGAGACCATCTGAGCAGCTGACAAAGCCCCGTCTGTCCTGCCTCTGCTTGGGTACCCAGGACAGTCTGCAGCTCCCTCACAGTTCCTCTTCAGCCTGCGATGGGGGCAGGTACCTGCAGGGGTCGCTCAGACCCTCCAACTCCCATCAGCGCTCCATCTGGCCTGCCTGGCTGGGTAGCCCTGTGCAGGTAGCAGGGACCTGTCCTCCAGGGGGTGTTGGAGAGCTGCAGCTCCTTGGGGCCGCAGGAGGGTCTGCCTTGTTCACAGAACTCGCAGGAGACGCAGGATTGGGAGCAGCAGCAGTACCAAGAGACAGAGGGGGCTAGGAGCGTGTCCCCCTCGCCACCCAGATGTGCCACTCTCTCCAGGACTCCCAACAGGATGTGCTGATTCGGACCCTGTGAGGTGAAGGTGAGCACTGCTGGGTCCCCCAACTCTTCCGCAGTCCTTCCTGTCCTTCCCATTAATAGTGCACCCGAGTCTCCTGCTTCTGGGTCTCCCAGACCAGCCACTGCCTTCCTATGATCAACTTCCTAAGCTTCAACTTCCCAGTCTCCCCAAAAACAGAGACTATCAACAGTCGCCTCAATTTCTTTCTTTCCTTTTTTTTTTTTTTTTGTGGGACTGGGGATTGAACTCAGGCCCTTGTGCTTGCCAGGGAAACGCTTATTCTACTGAGCCATCTCCCTGGACCCTCCCCTTTTTTTAAAGACAGGGTCTCATTCTGCAGTTCAGGTTGGCCTTGAACTCACAGCAATCCTGCCTCAGCCTCCCGAGTGCTGGGATTACAGGCATGTGCCAGCACACCTGGCATACTCTCAATTTGAAGTCTCCTCCACTACAGACAAGTCCTGCTAAAGCCTTCAAGGACCTTGCCTCTCTAGACCCCTTTCTCTGGGCCCAGCTTCAAATGGGGTGCAGTGGAGCCTATCATGAGACTAAGTGGGGAAGGAAAATCCACAACTTGAAGCTCCACCTGAACACTTCAAAGCCCTATGCTCTGGTTCCTCCCCATTGCTCCCCTCCTTTCCCAGGGCCTCAGGCTGCCCAGAGGGTGGCTCCTGTCTGCCCCCCCAACACACACACAACCCCTCCCACTTACTGCTCTCCTTGCAGCAGACAGACACCTGGAGCCTCAGGCACTGACCAGAACTCTCCGGGGTAGGCACAGCTGGTGAGAAATTGGGAAAAAGAAGTTAGCATGGGGAGTCACCCCTTTGTAAGCCCCCAAGAGTTCCAGACCCTCCCAGCTTCGCTTCTCTCCAGGCCCAGACGGCTTTTCCTTACTTTGGGGCCACAGTCAGGTATCAGGCGCACCCATGCCCTCATCTCCCTATCCCCTGCCTACCTCCTCTGTCTCTCTACCCTGGCCAGCCCCTGCCTGGGCTCCAAGGGCCCGTTCCTGCCCAGCCTTTCCTCAGCCTCTGATGCCTTCCCCAAGAGGCACACAGTGTACCCCTTCACTCACAGATATAGTAGTAAGTCTCTCCAGGCAAGAACTCAAAGCCCAGTGAGAATGGCGTGAAGCGCTGAATCTTCTCTGAGAATCGAACAGGGCCAAAGGGGGCAAAGGGCATGGAGCATTTCCAGCGCTGGAAGGCATTTGCCCCCTCTGCCTGGCAGGCCTGGTAGCCTGACCAGTCCACCATATATAAAGCAAAGGTCTCAGGGCCCTCAGGGGGTCCTGGACTTTCATAGTGTGGGCAGAAGATATCTAGGTAATCGTTGAGGCCCAGCTCCACCACAGCGTCTCCTCGAAGCAACCTGCAGGTACAAGGTGTCATAGGTTGAGGGGTTTATGGCCGAGCTCCCTGGGGTCTGGGGGTCAGGGGCCCAACTCTGCAGAGCTCCTGCTGGCCTCCCTCCTGCCCACTGAGAACAGAGCAGCTCTGAGTTCCAACTGCCTGCCCCTGAGACAGAGTTCACACAGCAGTCTGATGATCACCTCACAGGTCCAGAGCCACTGGGGCCTTAGTGTCCATATCACATGGCTTGCTGATAACAGACACGGCTGTCACCACTCCTGACCTTCCAGGCTGTGACTGCCCCCAGCCCTTCTCACCCTGGTATAGAACCTGTGCTCTGTAACTGTTGGGTGGATGGATGTGCAAAGGCAAGGGCCAGAGGAGCAGAGGACAGACGGGAGCCTGCAGAGCAGTTACAGACTGAATAGGACCCTCAGGACCAGTCCAAGACCCAGTTGGTGGTGCTGGGAATGCCTTGGGAAAAGAGAAGTCAGCAGTGGGTACTGCGAGCTCTCTCTGTCTCTTTCTCTTGACTTGCCCTCTTGCTCTCCCCGAGAATCAAGAAGTGCCAAGCATGGAGAGAAGCTCTCTGCACACTCTGGGGTCTCCAGCTTTCTTGGGAGCCCTTCATTATCCCGGGGTGCTGCCGGTTATAGATGGGAAATAATGGGCCAGGGCAGCCACCACAGTACCAGATGCCCCCTCTGCAGTGCACACACAGTGCAGCTCAGGAAGCCTGATTAACGAGAGGCCTGGGGTGTCCCTCAGTGGGTGGTCACTGGACCACCTGCCTGAGGAGTCCTGATTCTCTATCCAGGAAGATGTTGGAGCTCCTAGAACGCAGGGTAAGCCTTCCTTCCACCAGATCTCGCCCCGATAGAAGCAATCGCAGCAATCATCCATGGCCCCTCAGTGAGTATCCTCAGGGTGAGAAGCCTGACGTTTACAGGTCCTAGAATGACTCAGAAGCACTGGTCTGGAACACAGGTAGAGGAATCAGTCTGAGCACAACAATAACACTCATCACTGGAGTTGGGGCCAACGAGTCCCTCACACCTGGCCTCTTGAGGCCTGGCCTCTTGGGGGCCATCCTCTCTGCGGGAAGGACTGGGGTCTGCTTACTTCATTGGTCCCAGCAACCCGGCACAGGTCCTGGCACACAAGATGTGTTTCTTGAATATTAGTGAACAAATGAGCAGAGTCACAGATTGAAGTAGAAAATCAGAAAGGAAAACAGATGGGAAGGCAGAGAGGCAGGGAGAACTGGGGAGGAGGATGGAAACAGCAAAAAATACCAAGGTTCAAAGGCAGGCAGTTCAGGAGTGAAAGAACCCTTGCTATCTGTAAGGCTTGCATCTCTTTTCACATACATGACCTCAGTTGGCCTGCCTGACTTCCCAGGGTGCTAGGTATTATTAGCCCATTTTGCAGATGACATAACTGAGGTTAGGGAGGTCAAGCGACTTGCCCAGAAGTGATTCAGCTTGGAAGGGCAGGGCTGAGACGGGATAGAAATAGAAGGGCCATAAAGAGTGAGATGTAAGCAGATACCGAATGAGATCTGGACAGAAAACGCCTTGGGGAGGCCCGGTGAGCAGGACAGCAACCCACGCTCTTCTGCAACGCAAAGCCCCCTCCTCTGCCCCCAGTCAGTCTGGTATCTCCAGCCGGCTCAAGGCTGGGGATCCCCAAAAAGTGGCGAAGGGGCGGAGCCCGGAGGGCGGGCAGAAGCCCGAAGCTCCACGGACCACCCTCAGGCCAGGGGGGTCCCCCGCCTGCCCCCCAACACGTGCGGGCGGGGGGAGACCAAGGGCGGGCCTCGCCCCTCCCCCTCTCATCCCCCTCCCCCCGCCGGCTCAAACAAAGGAGCCCCGGCGCGCGGCCGGGCTAAGGCGGCGCCGCGCAGAGAGCGAGTGGCGAGCGCGCGCACAACCTGGAACGTGGGCCGGGCTCGGCGCTCTCTCGGTTCGGCTCGGCTACCTGGGGTTACTGGAGTTCCAGTAGATCGGGTGGCGGAGGCTGGAGGCCCCCCGCAGAGGGGACCCGAGGAGCGCGGCCAAGAGGACAGTCCGCAGCAGGGGCAGCAGCCGCATCGCCCCTGGGGTCCGGTCCGGTCTGGCCTGGCGGGTCCCGGCCCGCTTCGCAGCCGGGCGAGAAAGGTACAAAGTGGAGGGGGGAGGTTGCGGAAAGGGGGTGGGGTGCGGACACTCCCTGACCACACCCCCTGGATAACTTTCCACCAATGAAAACGCGCCTCCGCCTTTCCACTCAGAGCCAACTCTGTTAACCCTTGGGGCGCCGCCTCCAGCGTCAGGTTCACCCAAGCCACAGCACACTGCGAGGGGGTGGGCGCAGGGACTCATTCCACGGACGTTTTTGAGGGAGTAGGTCTTGTAACAACTTTCGAATCCGCATTACTAAAAGGTAGAAAGACCGTGTTAGAAGTTCAGGGGGAAGGTGGTGCTAACTACTTGTGGGGCTGGAGCTGAACAAGTTCAACACCAGTCTAGGTAAGACACGGAACACCGTCTCAAAAAAAAAAGGAGATTTTCAAATTGGGAGATTTGGGCGCGGTGGTGCACACTTGTAATCTCAGCACTCAGGAGGCTGAGGTAAGAGGATCCCCATGAGTTCGAGGCCTCCTTGAGCTACATAGGGCTACTCTGTCTCTAAATAAATAAAAACAGGGAAACTGAGGCTCGAGTGAAGTTCCACGACGCATGTGGAGCAGCCTACATAGATTGCCCCTTTTCTTTGCATATCTAGGGAATAGTTTGAAGGAAGAATAACCTTCCAGGTCACCCTTGCGCCTAAGGAGCCTTAGCTGACTCGCAGGTGCCTGCCTTGAGGCTGGCACCTAGCCTTTGCCACTTGGATCTGGGAAGGGGCCTACGCGGCCCCAGCCCCAACGACCAAGTGAGGAGGTGGCTGGGGCTGGTACAAAGCACCTTTGTTCTGCGCCCTCAGGTGGGGGTGGGGAGGGTGAGGAGTCAGGTGCTTGGCCTTGGGATCCAGAGAGCCGCGCCCCACTCCGCCCCGGCTCCCGGGCTCTGGGAACACCAGTTAGATCTACTTTTCCCAGCCACTGGTCAGAGGGTGGGGAAGCGAGTCTGACAGCCTGGCCGCTTTGCTGATAGCTGTCCCTGGGTCCCTGGGTGATGGCCAGCGTTGGGGGCGAGAATTTAGAAACCAGGACTGGCAAGGCGCGAACAGTTCTCGGTAGTTCAGGACTGCACAAACAGTCATTCCAGCCTGGACGGGAACGAGCCACAAGCATCCCCGGACAAGTACTAGCTGACCCACTCAGGGACTCGGGCTGTCCCTGTTTCGCCCTGTTCTGTGGAGGCAGCGCCCCCTGGCGGCCGTACCTGAAACCACAGCAAGGGCGACCGGGCTTCCCGCCGCAGAAAAACAGGCAATCAGCGAGCTCTCAAGATCTCACATTTATTGCAGCCTCCACCGGCCCCGCCCAGTCCCAGCCTCTACTCAAGCCAGGGCGTGGGGAGGGGAATGGGGGAGTCTCCCATTTTGTCGTTTGACACCCTGATGGAGTTCAGGCTTGAGCTGCTTCCATCATCCTGGAGGACTTGGCTTCTTTAAGTCCTAAGCCCGAGCTGGAGGCAGCAGAACCTTCGCTGGGGTCAGAGGTAGAGGGAGGACGCTGCTGGGGGAGGTGGCGCTGGCCTGGAGTCAAGAAGCCGGGAAAAGTGTCATAAGGCTCCGTTCTCCAAATCACTGGCCCCATTGTCCACCCCCGGTCGCCTTCCTCACCTACCGAGAAGGGACCACCAAGGGAATGATTCCTGATCCAGAGCCAGGCAGGTCACCCAAGGGACACCGACCCTGGGGGTCTACAGGGAGTGGCTTCCGTGGGGGCGGGGGCTTGGCAGGACCCTGAGACTGAGAGAGAAGGCAGGAGCCAGTTTGGGGAGCCATTATGGTGCCCACCCCCATGTCCTGGTGCTGGGGAACACCAGCTTAGGGGCAGCGTCACAGCTCACCCTGGTCTCCAAACAAACCTGTCACCACACCATTACAGGCGCCACCAGGATATGTGCTCTCAGGCACAGAGGGGACATCTCGCCACGGCCACCAGCACCAAAGCCCTACGTGGGGAAGAGAGGCCATGCCCTTCTCTCCCGCACTGTTACCTTCGGGCGCCTCACCACAGGGTCGGCGGGCAGAGGGCGGGTGGGGGGATTGGGTCGATCAGCCAGCTCAGCCTGGACAGAGAGAGGGGCAGTGACATGAGAGCACAGCCAGGGGCCGTGGGCATGCAGAGGTTCCCCGGAGGAGTTGGGGTAGAACGCAGAGTCAGCTAGGCAAGAGACAAAAGTCAGCCAGCAAGGCAGGAGAATGAGGGCATGCATACAGGGCCAAGGTGCATGCCAGAAGATGCCTCCTGGGGGGAAGATGTGGTTCAACAGAGAACCACCTGGCAGGCTGCAGTCCCGCCTCTGGCCACCAGGTGGTGGCAGAGACCAAGGAAGGAGGCTCACCCTTTGCTGCTTCTGGGGCTGTCAGAAGGCTGGGGGGCACCCCGGTTCACCTAATGACGATTACCACTGGCAGGGAGCAGGGGCGAGAATGCAGTTGGGCACCAAGCCTCCCCCCTGTCCTAGGCTAGGGAAGGGCCCAGACCAGATTTACCTGGAGTCTCTTGGGCACAGGGTCAGGTGGCAGCGGCCTGGAGGGGGGAGCCGGGAAGCTGAGAGCCTGCTGAGAGGGCAGGAGGAGCAGACAGCACAGAGGGGCAGGGGGAGCAGAGACACAGACGTGGGCACAGAGGGGTTAGTGGTGCCAGGCAGGGGTGGCCAAGGCCCAAGGGGCAGTGAGGGCAGGGCATGCATTAACTAGCTGCATGCAGGGGGTGACAAGTGGTGAGGCAGGCGTGCAGGCCACCCCAACACACACTCCTGTCATCAAAGCGAGTGCTCAGGCCAGGGGACTCACCCGCCCTTCTACACATGGTGACCTGGCCTTGTCAGGTCCTGGCACAGTGAAGACCTTTTGACCCCCTTGTCCCCTGCATCAGTCATGGCAAGGGGCATGGATAGACCCACCTCTCCGAGTCACCAGCTTGGCAGCTAAGAGCTCAGCAGAGCCTCCTCTAGGTGACAGCCCCTCCCTGCTCCAGGCTGCAGTCTGTACCTCTGCTGATGACTCTGGCAATGCCAGGCTTTCTCTGAGTTTAGAACCTTCAATGCCCACCTTACTTTAGGGGCCAAGCTGGATGTCAGGCAAGGCAGGGCCCCTTTCCTCTGGCATCTGGGACTCACCTTAGTGTTTAGCATCAGCTGGGTCCTCTGAGGGGGTCCTGGCTGTTCTGAGGGACCAGACTGGGCTGCCCTGAGCATAAGGAAAAACGAAGTGGACAAGAGCTCAGCCCGAGACCTGCAGGGCCCCTCCTCCACTGCCCTTGAGAGCAGCTCTGTATGGTTTAGGCCAATTGAAGGTTGGGGAGAAGTTGACCAGCCTGAGGGAGAAGTCCCAATCTGCACTGCACTGGGGTCCTGAGGGAAATGTCCCCAGCGCCCCAGCCTCCCCTCAGGGATCCACCAGGGAGGTGAAACATCACTGGACACATGTAGGGAAGGGAGGTGTGTGGGTATGGTCCAAGGAGCTGCCCAGGTGGGCTTTGGAACTGTCCCCAGCTGAAGGACATGATGGCAGGGAGATGATGCTTATACCTGTATTGGCAGCTGGACCCTTTGAGCTGGCAGAATCGCTGGTGCAGGTGGGCACGGTACCAGTAGCTGGCACCAAGTAGCACTAGGACCAGCAACAGTAGGAGGCTGAGGAGCAGGCCTGTGGTCAGGGAGCTGGCTGCTGTGGGTGAGGCCAGGTTTGAAGGAACCTGCCCCGAGGAGGGAGCAGGATGCAGGGGGTGAAGGGAAGACTCAGAAAATGTCAAGGGGTATGGGGGTGGTGGTCACAGAGTCAGGAAGGGGTGAGGAAGATGCAAACGGGAAACAGGAGAGTAAGGGACAAGCCACTTTGCCCACCTAGTCTCCAGCCCCCTACCTCGGAGCTGGGTGATGCAATCAGGGGGCGCCCAGCCCTCCTCGCAGTGGCATTGTTGGTTGCTGTCACAGACCTAGAGGTACAGGATGTGGAAGGACTCTGTACTCTGGGAATATGTCCCTGCCTCCTGCAAGACTGGACAGTATGTTGGGGCTGATGGGCAGAGAGCGCCAGACTAGAGAGCTGTGTCAGAGGAAATCAAATCAAACTGACACATACGCGCAAGTGGCCTTTTGGGGCACTGGGGTCAGAGCTTCTGCAATCTTCTTGAAGACCTGAGGGAGTGGGTGCTATTATTATACCCATTTGATGGGTGAGGAAACTGAGCTCATGCAGGTAAATAATCTGCCTGGACCACACAGCTTAGAAGTGAAGGGTAGACCACAGGCCTGACATCTCCACAGCCCCTAATTCTGTCTCTGAGTGAGGTACCAGCTCTCACCCCATGCCCATGGCACTTGCGTCGACATTCCTGAGCTCCCAGGAGTTCCACAGGCTGGCACTGCTGGCTGATGCACACCTGTCACAGGGAGGAGAGGGCCACAGATCATTCTCCACAGAACCTGACTGGGCCTGGGCCTCCACAGCTCACGGCCCTCCAGAGCTCATGGGAAAGATAAAGCTGCTCTGCCTGTGATCGGGGCATAGCTTCCTGTGGAGCCTGCTTCTTCTACGCAGTGCGTAGTAAGGCCTGGACGCTGCTTCCCTTGCTACCTGGCCTTCCCCATCCAGGCTGCTCACCAGGCCAGGGCCGCAGGTGGTGCCAGGCAGAGTCAGGAGGGGCTGGGCCACATCACTGCCCAGGTCCAGGTGCGCCCAGCTGCAATTGATCTGTGTCCCATTGGCTTCCAGGATCTCCCAGAGCAGATCTTGGACTGAGCCCAGAAGAGGCTGGGTCCTTTCTCCCTGGCACTGGAGCTGTCCACAAATAGCATCTCTAGGGAGTGGGAAGGAGGGCAAGGAGGGTTGGTGGGAGAAGCGAAGGCTCCCAAAAACCCAGAGTTGGAGCCATACTTTTTACTCACCCAGGAGGACAGGGCATGTAGCTTCCATCGGGGCTGCGCCCACAGCTTCCGTAGGCATTGCCCCGCGTGTTGGCTGTGTGGAGGCAAAGTGGTGCGGCGGGCTGGGCCCCAGGTCCCCACAGCAGCTGGCACTGCTGGGCATAGGAGGCACAGCGGCCATGCATGCACACTGCCTGCCCACCAGCACAGGGCTCACCGTCCCCCAGGCTGACATCAGGGGGGCACTGGGAACTGTTTCCTCGGCAGAATTCAGGCAGGTCACAGTCACCTGTGGTAGGACGGCACTGCCAACTAGCCGGGCGCAGCTGTGGAGGTGGGTGAGCATCAGAGTGGGTACTAGGCAAGTTCAGCCAGGCCTATAGGTCAGAACGACCTTTCACTGTGGCACCCCACAGGCGAGCTCCCGCCAGCCAGTCAAGTGTGTCCCCACCTGGCAGTTTTCACAACAAGGTCCATCAGATGCACATTGTGCCCCTGGCCTCAGCTGGCAGGTATCATGATCGCAGCAGGGATCGGTGCAGTCCTGTGAGCAAGGGCACCGAGAGGCCAACATCAATGAGGCTGGGCCTGAGAGCTCCCAGCTCCACCTGAAGAGTAAACCCAGAAGAGGTTGCTCCAAGCCACCCAGCAAGCCAGAGCTTGAGCCTCCCCATCCATGTGCTGTTCCTGCAGACAGAGAGATACTCAGGGGACTTGGGGAGCCTGCAGAAGTGGGTAAGGCTGCAGTGAGGGGCTCACATCTGAGAAGCCACAGTCACATTGCTCGCCGGGGTCTACAAACATGTTTCCACAGGAAGTGTCCAAAGACAGCGGGCCGGACAGCCTTTCAAAGAGGCAGCTGCCCATTCCCGCAAGGAGGGCTTTCTCCAAGGCCTGTCGGCTGCAGTTGCTGAAGTTCAGGCCTGGCAGGAAGCTGGGGAGGGTGGCAAGGAAGGTTAGGCTGAGGACCCCTCCCGGCCCACCCGCTTCCTCCTCTTTGTCCTGCAGTCACTCACTCTGTGGAGGACTCCATGATGCAGCTCTTGGCAGGGGCCGGGCCTGGGCAGGGGCAACTGCTCCCAGGCGGACTATGGCCCAGGCCCAGGCTGTGGCCCAACTCGTGGGCTATTGAGGAAGCAACTCCGAGGACGCTGGTAGAGTGGTCCTGTCATGGAGGAGAGGGTGTCCCAGGCTCAGCTACAGCCTGACTCCATCACAAGGCCCAGCCTACCCCGATGGCTTGGTTCTCTCCTCATCTGAGCCCTTGGGGACCTAGTGGACACTGCCTCCCTTTTTATCACTTCTGGAGTGGGAGTAGGGTTTAGGCCTGGAGGGCAGGAAACCTGGTTTCTAGCTCTGTCCCCCTTCCATCATGTGGCCCCTGGAGACTGCCTGTTTTTTGGACCTCAGGACACCCCACCCCTGGGAAGCCTTCAATAGCCACAATTGTGGAGACTGTCACCAGATGGCCATAGTGAAGGGTTACCTGACAGGCAGAGGCCCTTCCCTATTTGCAATTTTGCAGCTGGCCAACTTTGTGGGGAGCTTCAGTGAATAAATGGCTCTATACTTGGGAGGAACTGAGTGGGGAATGGGGGGGTACCTACACATAACTCACCATGTTTACACCTCCTGAGAAGTCCGGGGAACAGATGGAGTTCTGAATGGCCATACCCACCATGGGCCCAGAGAAAGAAATATCGCTGTGAAATGGAGGCAAGGTCATGGCCCAGGGCCACGGTGCTCAGGCCTCAGGACAGAGATAGAGTTGAAGGAGTATAAATGTGGCCAAGACAGGGTAGAACCAGCCCCACCCCCAGCCTGAGGGCCTTACGTCACCAGCTGGGCACTGTCATGGGGCAGTCGAGGCAGCAAGTCTGCGCGGCGCCAGTGGAGGAAGTTTTTTAGCGTGACAGCTGGGTTTGAGCTTATCTCCACCAGGTCATGCTGGGTCCAGGCCTCCAGGCCCACTAGCGCCACCCGCACATTCAAGGGCTGGAAGAACTGAGAAGAGCTGAGGCTCAGAAAAGGGGTATCCCCAGGCAGGGTGCTGTGGGGCTCCCATCTGCCCCACACTCACTGTGTCTAGCAGGTAGGCTACCTCCAGGGTGCGGTTCAGCAGGTGCTGGAAGTCAGGGAACCTCCTGACCTGTAGGCCAAGACAGCTATTGTGAAAGGGGGTAGAGTGGGTCCGGCGCAGGGCAGGACTGCAGGGCCCGTGGCTCACCTCTGAATGGTCAGCTACGATCACCAACTCGATGATCTTGGTTTCTGTGAGCACATCTCGTTTCTGCTGTGGACAGGGAGGAGAGAGTGTCAGCCATACCTGCCCAAGCCTCGGCGCCACCCAGGCTGTAGCCTCTCCTCCCTGCGTGGTTAGACATGAGAGGGTGATGAACCCATTTTACAGAGGAAGCATGGAGGGCTAGAAAGGCCCAGGACCTTCCCAAAGTGGACCCAGAGCTGGGAGGAGGTCCCCACTCTTCCAATTCCAAACTCAGAAATTTTCCAAATTTTTAAAAATAATAGGTGACTCTATCAAAAACCATATGGTAGACACAATTTTAAGCACTTTACATATTTGTTTCATTTATTCTTCATAGCAGTCCTGTAAAGTAGTATGTTTTGTTTTCTTTTGGTTTTTTTGAGACAGGGTTTCACTATATAATTCAAGCTGGCATTGAACTCACTCTGTAATCCAGGCTGGCCTCAAATTCATGGTGATCCTCCTGCCTCAGCCTCCCCCCAAGTGCTGGGATTATAAGCATGCACCACCATGCCAGCCAAAGTACTGTTATTACTGCTATTTTATAAATTAGGAAATTGCTTTCTGGTTAGTAGCTATGCATTTTCTACCCCTAAATTGGCACTCTGCAAATAGGATTATAAAGGAGATGAGGAATTGGACTTGAACATCTGCTGTTGGATTCTGGACTTGCCACATACTAACAGCATGGCGTTGGGCAAGTCACCTAACCTCTATGAGCCAGTTTCCTCACTTGTAATACAGCTACTGACAACAACTCTTTCCAGGGCTTGCTGGGAGGGTGAAGCAGCAGTGTTTGCAGAGTGCCTGCCTTGGGGGAAAGCCTCCATCAGCTTGCTGTGATCACTGTGAACTGTGCTCTGCAGGCCAGGTCAGTGCTGTAGACGACCAAAACCCAGCCCTCCTGCCATCACTCCTTACCCTACGAATGTGTCCCTGTCCCCGGGGGAGTGCTGGTGGAGCCGGAATGGGCATAGGCGCATGCCAGCTCAGGGAGCAGGTGTGATTTGGCAGGAGGAAATCTTGGATCTTGAAGACAGTAGGAGGCCCCTGAGGGTCCCCAGGCCCCAGCTCCAGGGCATAGCTTCGCTCTGGAGACAGGGCGATCAAGCCCCTGCGGAAAGAGACAGGAAATGAGAGTATATTTCAGCTCCACATCTTTGAGCCCTCTCCGTGGTCATGGACTCTACATACCATACCTGAGCCCTGAACAGGTACAGACGGAGACCCAGGAGCCCTCGTGGCCACGTACTCTCCCCTGGTAGCAGCAGTTCTCCTACAGTAGAGCAACAACGGATGGTGTCAACGCTCGGAGAAGAGCAGCACTTGGGCCCCGGAGCCCAGCTTGCTGGTGAAGACACAGAGTCTCCCCACTTCCTCCAAGGCTGTCCCACTTGTTGTCCACCCCTCCCTGGCGCAGGCCAGAAGCAGGGCATGAGAGGACCTGACTCACCAGAGTGTGTCCCTTGCTCACCACGCGAGTACCATCAGGCTGGTACCACACGGCAGTTGTGTGGCCTGGGACCAGATCCCTGTGGAGTGGAGAAAAAGGAAGGCAGTGTCCAAGTTGGCACAAAGAGTAAAGCAGTGACAAGCTGAGGCCTGAGATAGCGGAGGGGAGACTGGGGACCAGGTAATACTCCCAACCTCCCCATTGCATCCAAGGCAGCAGCAGACCAAAGGGGCTGACCCACAGACTTTGCTAGGCTTTCTGGGTTTCCATCTGTTTTTGTTTGGTTTTTTTACTTACCCTTAGCTGTGTGGCCCTAGGCAAGTTATTTAACCTCTCTGATCCTGGATTTATCATATGTAAAATGAGGACACTAATACATATGGTTTCTACCTTACAGGTTTGTCATGGGGATTACATGGGTGCACGTGCTTTGAACCTGGAGCACAGTAAATTCTGTGTGAGCTGTTCGCCATGTGCTTATCATTTTTCCTGTCATCTCACCTGTCTTGTAGCAGCTCCAGGATGTGACTCTCACCATCCAGCTCCAATTTGACCCTCAGGGCCTCAGGTAAACTTGTCTGTGGGTACCAGAAGGCTTGTCACCTCCCTAGTTCTGCCCACAACCCCTACTGGCTCAACCAGAAAATCTCAGGTCCTCAGGAGAGCACCAGTGATTAGGTCATTGGTGGGGGATCCCAAGGGAGGGGTCAGGAAGCCCTGCCTGGCCTGGGGCATTGTTCTGGGGGGTTGTATGGGGAGGTCAAGGAAGGTATCTGAGCCGCCCCTTCTCGGCTTCCTGCCCAGAGAGGAAGCATCATAGAAGACCCAGCACAGGCTCCAGCCCTTCCTCTGACTCAGCTGTAGATGGAGGCAGGGAGGGTTTGAGGAACGGCCTAACCTTTTCCAAATCCCCTCACCAAGAAAACAAAATATAAGGAAAAAGAAGCAAGTTTGGCCTCAGATTGCTGTGTCTATTGATGGGCTGGGTGGGGCTGAGGCACACAGATGTGTGTGTGCAAGAAGGTAAGTGAAGCCAGGTGCTGGTAGTGCAGGGAGAAGTGGCCAGACCTGGAATGGACCTGCTATCATGAGGTCCATTTGTTGGCTCATCAGCCAAGCTTTGGCTCTGAGAGCCTGATTATGCTAATGAGAGTGAGTGGACCTATTTGGCATTGAGGACGGGGACTCACCTGAAGCATCTCTGGTAGGGTAACCAGGTGGTGCTCTTGGAGGACTTCAGGCTCCAAGGGTCTGCGCAAGGCCGTCTCTGGTTTGGCCTTCTGCTCCTTGCTGCCACCTGTAGGGTCTGAGGACACCCCAAGAGACTGCTGAGGGTGCCCTTACCAGGCTGGTGTGGCTGGCCTAGTGCTGTGCACACTGACTCAATGCACAACACCAGAATGAGAAGGCTTCTCTCTAATGTGTGCTTTCCATCCAGCTACCAGTCCCCCGAAAAAGCAGTTCCCCTTGTAGCCCTTTCTTGTCCCCCTCTGGCTAGTTCCAGGTTCTGCCAGGGACCCTACTCCGCCCCCCCTTTAGTAACGCCCTCTGCCCTCTTAGGCCTGGGAGAAGCCTTGTGGCTGGGTGCCTGATTGCCCTCCCTTTCCCTCACGTCTGAGATGCCGGGAACGCCCATCTCTGGGTGAGCAGTGCAAACACTCCCACCTCCCTAACACCCCTCATGCCCAGGCAGACACACCCGCTCCCCACAGCCTCCACTTCCTCCCAGCGCCCCCCCCCCATGCCTCTCCCAGCTCCGGACACTCCACCCCCGCCTGTTCTAGCCCCGGCCCACGGCCTGCGACACTAGCGGCCCAAGACAGCAGCGGGAAGTGAAAGTTCCTAGGAGGAGCTGGTGTCCCAGCCTCCTTCCTGGCTGGTGCTCCGTTCTCCCGGCTCCTCCCAGGCCCGCCCGTTCAGCTAGGCTGTGGAAGACAGCAGCACCAGATTGAAGGGTGCCTGGCCGCCTGGCTTCGGGATGATGGGCTGGAGAGAATCCTCTTCCCTCTAGCCCGCAGCCATGCCCGTGGCGCCCTGGCACCGGGTGGAGCGATCTGCTAGGCCCAGAGGAGCGCAGACGTCAGTCCTGGGGGGCTGGGGGGAGTGTTCTTTCCAGTACTAAGCGGGTGGGGGTGCTGACAGGCCCTTGGGGGGCTGGCACACGAGTTTGAAAGTGCTGGGACAATCGGAGGACAACCGGCGGGGGACGCCAGCATCACTCCTCTTCGCCTGCGCTCCATCGCCAGGCCAGTCCTCCTAGGCCCGGGCGGCGGCACACCCGACAGGCCTCACTCCGCAGGGCTCTCCGCGACCCCAAAACCTCCTGCCACCCCCCACCCCCACTTGCCTGCACCTCTCACCAGCTTGCCCTCCACCCACTCCCGGTCGAAAACTCACCTGTATTTGGGAGCGGTCGGGAGGGCAGAGGGCTGCCCGCACCTAGGAGCCCCAGGGCCCAGAGCAGGGCCAGCCGCATGGCAGCGGCGCCGGGGCAGTGAGGGGCAGCAGGTGCTGGCCGGCGCGCTCAGAAGCGGCTGCCGCCGGGTCTGCTCCGAGATGCGCGCCGCACCGCGCCGCCCCCAAGCTCCTCCCACCCTCCCTCCCGGCCACCAGCCCGGCTCCGCCCCCGCAGCGGCCCCGCTCCGGAGCCGCGCTCCGCCCCGATAGGCCCCGCCCCCGGGTCCTAAAGCCTTTGCCCAAAGCTCCAGCGGCGCTGCGCGTCTCAGCGACGCAGCGGAGATCCGCATCCTACCCGCCCCGGGAGTCGCGCCTTGTCTACTTTCGCCCCAGGTCCGCAACCTTCGCTGCCTTTCCTCCTGTGGGGGTCAAGCAGGGAAAGCTCTCGGGCAGCGCCCTACCCATCAAAGCCCCCCCATCCCCACGAAGCACAGGTGGCTGGGGCTAACAGGGCGCTTTATTACAGCCTTGTGGCTGGGCGGAAAGCGAGCCCCAGCCTTCACTCCGCGTAGATGGTGTCGTCGTTGCTGTCGCTGAAGGCGGAAGAGGAGAGCTCTTCGCGAGGCGTGCAGACCGGGCACTGCTGCCGCATGTCGTCCCAGCACGACCGGCAGTACACAGCCTGGCAGTCTGGCGTCGGGCACACGTAGGACTCTGGCGTCTCGGGATCTTGGCACACCACGCAGCGCCGGCGAAGCCAGCGGCGCAGGACAGGGCAGCGCTGGTGCAGGGTGTCCACCAGGTGGTGGCGCTGTTGGAAACGGGGTGGGTGGTTAGTGCTGGTTGGAGAGCAACTGGCAAAAGCACAAGCTCCCTGAAGAGCAGCACTACCTGTCCTAAGTCCCCAGACCTGACAAAACCCACAAGTTGGAGGCTGGATGGAGCCACATAGAGCACTAGTGGACAGGGGTGCTACGGGTTCTTAGGCCTCCTCCCGCTCTCCCTTGGTGGTGATCAGCGTGGGAGGCTGCAGCTTCCAGGCCCACCCTGGAGCTAGATCAGCAACAGCTGTCATCTGCGCTTGCAAATCGCCTTGTGTTTCACAGTGAAACTGAGAAGTGAGGCTGTGTACAGAGACAATGACTATTGTCCCCACTTTGCAGATGAGAAAGATGAATTCTAAGTCAAACCTGGCCAGATTCAGGTGCCCTGATCCCACATCACCAGGCTTGTTGTCACTATGTCCCGTGTTACCATCCCTTTGTCCACACAAATGCAAGGAACAAGGGTTAGGGGGTGGGAATCTAGCTCAGTGGCACAGTGCCTGCCTGGCAAGCGCAAGGTCCTAAGTTCAATTCCCAGTACAAAAAGAGAAAAGGAACAAGAATTCAACAAAAGCACCTTATGAGGCCACACTTTGCTGCTGAAACTCCAGGGGCCCACTGCCTGCCCAACAAAAGCAGTGACTCCTGGCTTTGTCTTCAGAGTCTTCCATACCCTCCCTTTCCAGCCTCGGTTCCACCACTGAATACTGCCTTTCTGGGGCTGCTTTCTCCTTGCGTGGCCCTGGCCCTGGCTACTTGGCACTCCCTGTGGACCCTGAGGCTTTGTCCATTTTGTTCTTTGGCTTAGCATGCACATCCCTCACACTCCTCTCTACCCATTCAAATAGTTTACTTCAGGAGTAGGCCAAAGGATCCCAATATTTTGTTTTTCATCAGACATTCACCTATCCTTTATTGTGTATCAGGAGGATGGAGAGGTTTAGGTACTGGGGGAAAAAAACCTAAGCAACCATGGTAGCACTTCTGTGAACTTTGCTAGATTTAATTAAATAAGGATGACTGACATTTGTTCCATTTATAACATCTAGCCCTGTACTAAGAGACTATAGGTAAGTTGACTCAATTCAGAAAGCGATCATATGGGCTGGGAGTGTGGCTCAGTGGTGGAACTCGCGCCTTTCAGGAGGCCCTGGGGTCCACCCCAGTGCTACACACACACATGCACACATACAGGCTCACAGACTCAGGCGTGCCTCAACAAAATACTGCAGGTATTGCTGTTAGCATCTTTTTTTCAGGTGAGAACACAGCCATTAACAGAGAGGTGATCACTGGCCCAGGAGTGGACAGTCGCAATGCACAGATATAGAGGACTTTACCATCATACCGACACCACGCAAGGAAACATTTAGGGCTGGTGAGATGGCTCAGTGGTCTAAAGCACCTACTTAGAACAAGCTTAGCAAAGCACAGGGACCGCAGTTCAATCCCCCAGCACCACATGCCAGCCAGCCCTGCCCCCTGGTGGGCTGAGCTGGCCACACACACACACACACACACACACACACACACACATACACATAAATAAATAAAAATTAAAAAAAAAAAAAAGAGAAAGTAAAGACCAACCAAGGCCCAGCACTTAACATCATACAGCTGTCACACTGACAGGAGAGCAAGGTTGGAAACCCAAACCTTATGAACTCTAGTGAGAGGGCCTTACAGACAGTCCAACCTCCCCTGGATTTACCGGAGCCCTCTGCTGCTTTGCCCGCCTCATGATGGCAGCCCGCCTCAGCTTGGTGAAGGCTGCTCTCTTCCTCAATAGTTCGTTGTAGAGGAACAGGACCCGCTTCTTCTCTCGCTGAGACAGAGAGGACTGTTCAACAGTAGTGACAGAGCCAGGGAGGAAAATGGGGGTGGCAGGCGCTATGAGTGTGCAGGGTGAGATGTGCTGGGGGCACACCTTGGGAAAGTAGAAGGCTGCGATGACCCTTCGGAGCCGGTAGCCGAAAGCCTGGGCCAGGCAGAGACACAGCAGCAGGCCGATGGGAAAAGTGGCCCTCCAGTAGGCCCTGGCGTCCAGGCCCACAGGCTGGGGCAGACAGGCTGGGGGCAGCCAAGCCTGTGAGCCAGATGCTCTGGGGAGCCCTGGCTGATCTCCCAAACACCCCAGCTAGAGGTGCAGGATAGACCTTGACTCCCCTGCTGTCCCCCTGCCTGCCTTTAACCTGCAGAGCTGTGGGGCCACCAGTGCAGCCACCAGGATTTAGGTGGAACACATCTTGAAAATTCTCACAGCAGGGGGTTCTGTCAGATAGCACTGCTCTGGAGCGCATTGACCCTCAGAAAGCAAGGCCCTAGCCCCAGCCTCAGGAGTTTGGGTCTTCTCTGCTCCTTAATATATTGTTGGCTCTGATTCCCCCACTTCAGATAGACCAGGTACCATCTCTTCTCCAAGAAGCCCCACCCCACCCTTCACCTTGGGCTCCTCTAACTCTAGCCCCTAGCACTCAGTTCCTCTAACCCAAACTTTCAGGATCACTCACGCATATTGTTTGATTCTACTGCTGTATCTGAAGAAGTGTTCAGGGCCCCAATGGTCTTCCGAAGAAGCCGGGCAAGCATGGAGTGTCCCTCGACTTTCACCTCCAGTTTATGATTGCCTGGGATCAGCATGGGGGTGGAGGAATCAGGAAAGAGCTGGAGTTAAGGGGAGCAGGATGGAAGCTGTCAGGGGGGGTGGGGTCAAGGTCAAGCCACAGAAATAGGAAAACTCAGCTGTAAGGTCTTCCTAGGGTTTTGCCCAATCTGTACCTCTCCCTGTTGTAAAGGTAAAGGGATAACTGAAGTCTGCTGGGGACAGCTGTCTGGTTGCCAGGTTGAGGCTGGGCAGGGGAGGCTGTCACAGGAAGGGGAACAGGAGACATGGGTGGGGGGCTGCATGGGCTGAAGTCTGCATGAGGCCAGGCTCACTATGGAAGGAGTACTGCAGGAAAGAGTGCTGGCGGATAGTATCGAAGATCGAGTAGAAGGCCCAGTCGAGCCCACAGAGCACCAGCAGAAGCAGCAGGACAGGCACTGTCTCCAGGAGCTCCCATGCCTGTGAGAGAACCCAGGTGGTCTGGGCCTGCTCCCCCAGAGACACGCCAGCCATTGTGCCCCGGGCCTGCTGCCCACACCATTCTCACCAAACTGCTCATTTCTGAGGCCTGGATGGTGAATTTGCAGGGGAAGATGAGGCTCTTCTTCTCAGCCTTGCGGAGTGGCAGTAGAGTCTGTTTACCCTGGAGAAGAACTGTCTACACAGGGCCCCCCAGGGTCCCTGCCCTTGCCCCTCGGCCCTACTGGAGCCAACTGAGTCCACACAAGTCACCCTAAGGCAGAGCTGTGCCCACTCACCAGCTTCTTCCTGCGCTCATCGATCTGACAGAAATAGGTGCTGATGTAGATGTTGTCAAAGCGGATGTCCTGGTTGTAACTGTCCGTGTAGGAGAAGGACCTGGGAACAGATGGTGGGGATGTCTTCAGCTCTCTTGGCAGGGCCTGCTCACACACCCCAACCATCAGGCTCCTGAGGCACAAGACCAACCGACATTCACTGCACACCCCCTGTCCTAAGGACAGCGTTAGCCAGTGGTGATCACAAGGGCCAAGACTCTACCCCTGCCTTCCAGATGCGTGGTAGAACTGCTGGATGTGAGGGGAGGGGGTCTTGCCAGTGGCTGTGGATGGAGGCCTGAGGCCAGGGCCAGGAAACCCCTTCAGACCGTGGGAGTCTCCTAAGCTCTGACTCCCTCTTTGCATCCCCAGTCCTGGCCTTTAGGCTGCACCTGCAGCACATGGGGCAAAGGCAAAGCTCATGCCAAGCCGCCATCTCCTGCCTCCCCAACAGCCCTGCCCCTCCACAGAGCATAATGGTGTGTGTGTGTGTGTGTGTGTGTACGCGCGCACATGTGCGTATGTAGCTATCTTCCATGTGTTTCCCCAAATCCCACATAATGCTTCAGTTTCCTAAGGAAAAAATGTTAATTGTTGGAAATGTGTTGAAAACTGTAAAAATACATTAAATAAACTCTGCAAAGTGTGAAACATAAGTTCCAATGCTATTGGTTCTGGGACCCTGTAAAAATCCACATCTCTGCTTGTAAGATAGAAATAACCCAGAATGCAAAGACAGGATGGGAGCGCCCCCTTGTGGGAAGACCTACTGCTGTCGTGCTAAGGCTTCCTGCCACCTTTGTCCCTTCACTGAGAAGTAACCTTACCCAAGCAGCAGAGGTGGAAGTAGGTTTTGACTCCGTGACACCTTCCTTCCCTCTCCAAGCTAGCTCTGAGACTCGCTGCACTTTTCCCCTTCCTCCTTTCATCTTGGGCCATCTTCCTGCCCCACCCCACCCTACCACAGCCAGGCTAACTCTGACCTAGCCAGGCCTCGTTTCCAGCGGGCCATGGTTCATCAAGTCAGGGCCTCGCTGCATGGCTTTCCAATCCTTCTGGTTGTGCCCACTTCGGCCCACCCTACTCTCTCTCTCCACTCTGCAGGTATCAAGACTCTCACCCAAGATACCGCTCTTCCTTTCCTTAACCATGGTGCCCACTAGGCCTTTTAGAGCCTGGGTCTGGCCATCCCAGGGACACCACCTCAACTCCACACCTGTCCTGATGGCCAGCCCATAGTGTGGCTCTTGGACTTCTCTGTGGGTGTCTCCCTCATCACCCCAACTAGACCAGGAATATCTTGTGGGCAGGAGTGTGGTTCCTTCTTTCTCTTCCCACAAGGCACATACATATCCACTCACCTGCACTCTTGTTAACCCCAGGAACAGGGGCCAACTGACCAGGGGCCCTATGTCTGCCCTGGCGCAGGCCCTACCTGCATCTGGGGTGGAAATGGCATGAACACAGAGACTCAGGGGTTTGGAAAGGCAGGGGGGAAATGAGAGCAGAGTGAGGCCCAGGCAGCCCAGCTGGATGCCGGGCTGGGTGGAGTTGAGGACTTTGTTCTAAATGGAAGGAAAGTATCTGCCAACACAGCAGGCAGGAGGGAATGAAAGCAAAATTGAATGATAAAAATGGCACAAAGTCAGAGCCAAGGGGAATATGAAGGGCAAGAAAAAAATCAAAAGTCAAAGCTAAATGTAAAAAAAAAAAAAAGTATTAGGATAAAGGCTGGAAGGAGGTAGATAAATGGAGACCGTTGCCCTTTTAAGATACGGGAATGCGAGTAACATTTCTTCTAACAAAATGTCCAAGCGTCCTGTAACTTTATGTAAAAAACAAATCCAACTTAATAAAAAGGCCAAGTTAAAGGCAAATAGTTTTCAGCTTCAGAGATGGTGATGGGGTCCGCACTCTGCCTTCCAGCCTCTCTCAGGAGGGGACACCCCTGGGAGGGCAGGAACAGGGACAGGACCAGGGAGGAGAATGGGGGCAGCTCACGCTCGGAGGACCAGCAGGAAGGTGCAGGACAGCAGTGCATGCAGCAGCCCCAAGAGCCACTCCAGCCGGGCCTCCTGCCGCTCCACGTAGTCCTGAACCTCGGTGCTCACGTGTTCCCAGGTCGTGTTGAGGCCCAGCAGCCCAGCCTGCTTCTCCTGCTGGGAGACACACATGTGCACGTAGGCACCACTCTGGGTATCCCATTCGTGTCCCCAGGTTCTCCATGACCTTCAGAAGGTGTCACCGTCTGCTGACTACCTCGTGTGCTGGTCTTGCTCCCCACATCGATACTACTACACCTGGCTAACCATTCCACCCCAGGTTGGGTTGATCTCCCACACACACCCTCCTTGTCCCTAATACCAGTCTCCCTCCCTCCCTTCCCCTCACCCCACCACTGCCCCTACCTTGATGTCAATATTGGCTGAAAATTCCCCATCAAGGCCACGAATAGACTGGTTGAGAGAATCATAGGTCTGCCCAAAGTTGCCTTCCACTGGGATACGGCTGCGGCACCAGACCTCCATCACTGAGGACAATTGGGCCAGGTCAGGGCCTCTGTGTGGCAGGCCGCATGCTCTCCAGGGAGTCTCCTCACTTGCTCTTTTCTTTCCCCCAATACTAGAGTTTGAACACAGAGTCCTTGCAGTGAGCTACATGCCCAGCCCTAATTTTTTTTAAATTTTGAAACAGGGCCTTGCTAAAAGTTCCTGTTAGGGTTGGTGAGAGAGCTCAGCAAACTAAGTTCCTCTTTGGCAAGTGCAGGGACCAGGATTCAATCCCCAGTCCCACATGCTGCTCCAGCTCTGCTCCAAGGGCGTGCTGAGCTAGCAACTGAGTCCAGGCAGGGTGGTGCACGCCTGTAATCCCGCACTGGGAAGGCTAAAAACAGGAGGATCAATATGAGTCTGAGTTGCACAGTGAGACTCTGTACCAAATACATAAAATGATAGATAAATAAATAAATAAATGTTCCTATTGCCTGAGCTGGACTTGAATTCTAGAGTGCCGGGGCTCCATGCATGTGCCATGAGATCTGGCTTCATTTTGTTCTTTTGTCTCCTGCCATGACTTTCTACCATAATGACATTGCCTCCTGTCACTGTCTCTGGAGTCTTCCTCAAAGAAGCAAGACCTGATTCCCTGCTGTTTTTCTTTTTTTTTTTTTTTAATGTATTTTAGTACAGGGTCTACAGGGTCTCACTATACAGATCAGACTCGTAATGATCCTCCTGTTGTCAGCCTCCCAAGCACTGGGGTTACAGGCACGTGCCACCATGCCCAGTCTCAGTTGCTGTCTTGAACCCTGGTTGCAGTCTGCTGAGCTATCTGGCAGGCCCCCTGCTCTGTTTTTCACCTGTCCTAGCCACAAGAACCACTAATAATAACAGCCAGCATTTGTGGAGCGGCTCCTCTGTGCACCAGCTCCGTTAGTCGCTGCACAAATATCATCCTCTTGATCCTCAGAGCCTCTAAATGATTAAATCCCATCACTGTGCCCATCTTTGGTTTGAAGAGATAATGCTTAGGTCTACTGCCATTCATCAGGGTGACACAACAGCCATAGATGGGTGGCCTCAGGGTGCTGTGTCCAGAGAGCCTAAACCCTCCTGCCTCTGGCTTTCCTGCACCACACCAATTATAGTCCCCAAGGACTTGGCTCTCTAACCCTTGAGCACCCCACCCTCCTGCCACTGTGCCAACCCTTGGCAATGCCACAGAAGAACTTGAATTTCATCGGCAGGCAGAGCAAATGGTTCAGGAGTGGGACCCAGATGCGTTGCATGCACTGTTCATGCTTTCGATCAAACCAGCGTTGGCAACTGAGAATAGCCTGGTTCACGACGTCTGTGGGAAGAAGCAAGGTATCTTCGCTCCCTGTACCCTGACCTGGACCCTGCCCTTGGCCTGCCCCACCCTTTCACCCAGGGATGGCCCCTCACAGGAGCAGCGCAGCTTGGTCTTCAGCTCAAACATCTTCTGGGTTGACAGGTGGAACCTAGTGCTGGGAGCCTTCTGGGCCCCTGCACCTGGGGCTGTTTCCTCAGAGTCCACGACATCCTCAGGTGCATAGCCAGCCTCACTGCTCACCTGGGCATCCAGGTCCTTAAAGGCAGTGGAGATGTTCTGAGTCTCTGCTTTCAGTGAGTCTTTGCTGCCCTGGATTGGAGGGGGCAGGAAAGCCAGGAGGGAGGAATGGGGCAAGAGGGAGGAAGGGGGAGGGATGACGTTTAGAGCTGCTGCCCCCACCCCCCAGCCTGCCCATACCAACCTTTGGGTTCTTCTCTCAGCTTATGTGGAGCTAGGCCAGAGGCACAGCCTCTCCCCTTCCATTCCCCACCATCCACAGTGCGGGGCCAGTCACCTCTACCCAACTGTGGCACTCCTCTCCCAGGCCCCCAGCTGTGCCTTGGACCTCCCCTCCCAGAGCCTTCCTGGTCAATCAGTGCTTCCCCAGATCCTTGGACTTCACCACAGGTCACTGCGCCATCTGAGCATTTCCAACTGCAAAGCCCTCAGCCTCCAGCTCCCAGCTCCCGGCCTCTCCAGTACACCCCTGCACACCGGCACCCAGCCCTGGCTTTCAAAGCCCAAGGCCTCAACTCTCCCATCACCCTCCTTCACCCGCCCAGAGTACCACCCACTCAAGTTTTGGAAATGGATATGGGGCATGTCCCAACAACTGGGGGTGCTCTCCTGGCATTTGGTGCCCCAAGACTAGAGCATGTTCTACAAAAAGTGCCGGTAGCTCCCCATTGGGAAGACACATCCAGGATTCCAGCTCCCAGCTCCAGTGAACTGAGCCCCAGGGGAGGGATCTGGGGGTCCTGGCCATGCAGGGTCCTGACCAGCAAGTCCTTGAACACTGCCCGGAGTGGGGCTGTGGAGATGCGCCAGGCTGCACGGGTGTTGTTGATCTGAAGCTCCACAGTGCAGCCCAGTGATGCTACCACTTCATTAAGGTTGTGCTTCAGATTGGCCACTGGCCCTGGAGGAGGAGGGCAGTGGTTACTTCTCTGTATAGCCAGTACTTTTTCAAATCCTTTCTCTGCACACAGGGAATACCTTCCAGGATTGTATGATGGGGCTGAGTAAGCTTGTGAAAATTCTTTACATTCAACCCTGGACTTTTTCACCTGTATATAAACTGAGGAGGCCCAGAGATGGGGAAAAGCTCTCTTAAGCACACACAGCAAACTGGAGCAGCTGGGACTAGACTCCCACCTTTTTCACCCATGCTCACTACTTCAGGGAGACTAGCCCTCAGGGACATGTCCACGCACTCACCTGCATACATGGCAGCCAAGGCATATCCCAGGACAAAGAGCCTGCCCTCTTTGCCCAGCATCTTGGGCACCAACAGGAGGCTGGCACAGCGGATGTGAGGGGAGGTCCCCCAACCTATGGCCCCCAAACCTGTCGGGAAAGCCCAGGAAGTAGGTGGTTAGGCAAAGTGAAGAAACTGTCATGTACCACATTTACCAGAGGCCCCTACCCCAACCCCTGCTGGCCCGTTCTCCCTGGTAAACAGGGCCACCCATTCATACTTTCAAAGCTCATTTCCAAGTTCAACTGCATGCTAGTCTTTGTACTGGCATGGGGAGATGGCTATGGATGGAAGAATCATGGCCAGTGCTTGGTGCATGCACATGCGTGTGTGTACATGCGTGTGTGTATGAGAGCGCACATTCGAATCAGGGAGTGCGGCCAACACATCCCACATCCAGGCTGGATTCACTCTAATCCTAAGTGTTGAGGTAGCAGAATGGACAAGAGGAAAATTCTAGAAATAAGCACTGATGCTTGGGGGGATGTCCAAGAGCTCAGAGCCCACCCTGCCCTTCCCAGTGCTCTGACACCTGCAGTACTTGGGCTCCCCCCTCCTGTTAGCCCCAAATCATGTGCCATTGTATGCTGTAGCAGTCCTGAGTGTCTTCCTGTGGTCTCTGCAAGGAGACAGTGAACTCCTAGAAGTCGTAACCCAGAAAGAGACAGACAAGTAAACAGATGACTACCACACCATGTGCACAAGGCACCAGGGAGGGGCTTTTGGGGATTTGTGCAGGGTGGGGTGGGGCTGGGAAGGCTGGACAAAGAGCTGATGTGTCAACCTGGCTCTGTAAATGTTGCTGGGAAGCACAGACAGCATCCAGGCCAGAGAAGAGCATGAGCTGGCCAGGGTGGCTAGCTGATGCCTGCATTGCCCAACTGTTCCCTCAAGGATCGCCACAACAACTCTCAAATCCTTCCACTTCCCTCCAACTTCTCTGTCCTTGAGAGTCCCTGTCCTCTCTCACTGGGACTGGAGTGTTTGTTGTTTTTATGGTAGCTATGCAGGGGATGGAAGCCAGGGCTTGGCACACACTGGGCAAGTGCTCTACCACTGAGCCACGCCTCCAGCTCCTGGCCTAGAACTTGCTACCTTGCACTTCCATTTGTACAAAGAAGTCAGAATGACAGCTGTGGAACTACCCCTGTAACCCCAGCACTCTGGGAGGCTGAGGCAGGAGGACTAAAAGCTTGAGCCTAGCCCAGGCAACTCAGTGATTCAGTGAGACGCTGCCCCAACATATTTTTTCTTTTAATAAAAAGGAGCTCAAAGGCCAGGAATATAGCTCAATGGCACAGTACTTGTCTGGCAAGCACAAGGTCCTGAGTTCAATTCCTGGTACCAAAAAAAAAAAAAAAGGAGCTCAGTGATCTCTAGGTTTAATCCTCAGTTCTGAGAATAATAATTTTAAAAACTAGGCTGCCACTGAAATTGTATAAAAGCATGAATCAGGTCATGTTCTTTGCCTACCACAAACCATCCGATGATTTTCTTCTACTGCACTTGGTGAATAAAAGCCAAATTCCTCTAATAAGGCCCACCTGCAGGTTCTGGGGATCTGGCCACTGTCCCCTTCTGCTCCTTGTCCTTGCCCCTCTCAGATCCTGCAGCTCGCCAGCCCCTCTTCCACTGCCCTGCCCTACCGCACCTCAGGCTGCACGCAGGAGCACTCCTCCCTGATTCCTGGGCTGAGCAGCTCCACCCAGTCCTACAGGTTTGTGGCCAACCCTGTCTGGTGCCACCCAGCAGTTTTTTCTGCCTTCTCTCTTGCTAACACAACTTGGGTTTTGTTCAAGGGCAACAGCCCGGTCCTGCCCCAGCCCTTGGGGGTGAGTCTGGATCTGTCTTAGCCAACCATGGTATTACAGGACTTTGGAAGGGACTTGTTCTGTGGTCTCAGCCTTCTGGCCAAAGACTCCAGTTGAGGACAATAGTTGACAAATAGCTGCCCTACATTCTAATAGAGCCCTATGGAGCTTTGGGTATCTGTTTTAGGTTGAGCAAAACAGCAGAAAGTGTTTCTCTCCTTTATACCACCAATTTACACAAGCAGACCAGAAATGCGGACTTTCTGGTAAAGGGAGCCAAGTGGTTGGCGAAGGCAGGCACAGGAGGTCTGTGGAGAGGATGGGTGTCACATGTCTGTGAGAGATCCCAGGAGCCTGCACTGCAGAGCCTGTGGCCACCCTAGCCCTTCCTCCACAGAGTTTGCTTCTCATAAGGACAGGGGATGGGTGGATTCCATGGCTTTTTTTTTTTTTCCTGAGACAGGTGGGCACTTGGGAAGGCATCAGGTCTGGAGCTGCCTGTGTGCCAGGCAGCCTATTGGGGTGTGGGGTCCCAAAGGAAGAGGCTTTAGCTGCCTACAGGAGCTAAGGGGCTTTAACTGCCCTCTGTGGGAAGCCAAGGGATGAGGTCCACACAGAACCTCAGAAGGTAGGGCCAGGCTGATTGCCTGCCACATGGAGATGAAGTTCAATTAGAACAACAGCATCCAATAACCTAGGTTTTTGTCACTTTTCCTCTCCTTCTTCAAATTTCCTTTCTGCCATCAGAATCAAAAGAGGAAGGGAGTAGAGGAGCAAGTGAGTGAACAGGCCAAGGTTTCTCCACAGAAGGTCTCTGCTGAGGCTGGAGAGCTGGGGGAGGGGCAGTAAGGAAAGGATGCTGCGAAAATTGTGAGCAGTGACTGGGCCAGCTCACTAGCAAGAGGTCTCCATAACTGAGGGAAAGCGGGGTCTTCCTGAGGAAAACAGCCAGAAAGCTAAGGGTTTATGTGGAAGGTGGTCATGGGGAGCCTCGTGTGAGTACTGTGGTCAGAGAAAAAGCCTCCTGACCCAAGACTCCAGCTTATTCCTGTAAGTGGGGACTTGGCTCACCCCACGTCCCTTGCCTGGAACAGGTTCAAGAAAGAGCAGATTGATGCAGCACCGGCCGGAGATATAAGAGGAAGCCTGCAGAGATTATAGGGAAGTGTCCTCGGTTCCTTAAAAGGGAGTCGATGAAGGGACGTTCCTTCCTTTTCTTTCTGGTTTTTGACATTTTGTATGTGAAAATGTGGTGCCTGGAATTCACATCAAAACAGCACTGACTCCAGTAAGAAGAGCCATATCAAGAACAGAAAACAACCGCTGGGCTTCTTAGGAAAAACCATCTGTGGAGGGTTCTACACTGCAGGTGGAACCACTAGGGAGATCAGGGTGGAGAGGCCTCAAAACACCAAAACTACG